AATCTGAGCCTTAATGTTTTTACCACAAAATAATAGATCTTAATAATATTTACTTTACATGGTTGATCTAAGAATCAAATAACATTATTTCTGAGAAAGCATTTAACCATAAATACGGTAAAATCATCAAAGCCATTTAAGAACATATATGTTATAGTAACATCATACATCTTGCAGCAGAATCCAGAGCACAGGAAATCATTAACAGGAGGAGGAGGTGATAATCTGGCGAGGCTGGTATCATCCTCTCATCTGTTACTGACTTGTTGGATAACCTCTCTAATGGAGATGCCATCTTCTGGGGACATTCATGTCTACCCCACTCATAAACGTGTAAGAAAAGTTAAGTAACGTAGATGAAGTTCCCTGAGATCTTCAAAATTCTGCCTCACACGGAAACATGTTAGTTGTCCCTGAAGCCGCAGATGTTGTATGAATGCAGCGTGTCCCCCAGTAGGCAATCCCTCCTCCCAGTTGGCCCCACAGTCCACACTGGCCCCCAGGATCACACCCTCAGCACTGGAGAAAGGCTGGCAGGGAGTCACCCCAGCCATATCTCGGGGGCGTAGGCCTCCCTTCAACTAGACCTTTCCGGTGGAGAGCAGACTCTTCAGCCAGTGAAAGCTCTCTGCGACTTTGTGTGAGCACCCCTCCATTCTTGCCACTGAACCTTTCCCATTTTCTGTTCCCACCTTGACATTCTCCATTCAGGGACTCCTTCTGCTTTCCTCGCCGGTGGCCACCTTCCCCAACTCATACTTTCCTCTTCCTTCCCTGCTACCTGCCTTCTCCCCAAGCTCCCAGTCTTAGTTTTCTGACCCCTCACCAGACTCACCTGAAGAGAAGGGAGTTGTGCTAGAGCAGATGATGGAGAGACCAAGAGAATGGGAGAGACAGGTAGAAACAGTGCTTCTGAAAAACATCCCGCCAACAGCATTCACTGTACTTTCTGCAAGCCAGGAGAAGCCTGATTAGAATGAGAAAGAATCAGCAGAATCAGTGGGTTCTTGCTGAGCCCCCCCACTACAGAAGTCACTATTCAGAGTTGGGGTGTCTCAGCCCAGTCGGATATCTTTTACTTGAACTTTGGGCAGGCCCTCTGTATCTACAAACCTAACAAGATGTCTCTTCTTTTTTTTCTTCCTAACTTGTCAGTCTTGGTAGAGTGTCAGTGCTGGTCCACAAGAAGGAGTTGAAAAGAGGCTCTTTAGAGAACAGGCATCAAAAACTGGAGAGAAGTATCTGCATTGGCCACTCCCTCCACACCGTTGGAATTGTAAAGGACACTGCTGCCCCTTTAGTTTATCCCCTTGCTGTGCTGTTATCTTGGGCTCCAGAGCTCAGTTGTCACCTGCTCAGAACCCCTCTGTCAGAGCTACTTACTAATACTTCATTCATAGTACCGCTGCTTTGATCAGCATATGTAACTGAGAGCAGACTATACCCTTAACTCTGAATCACATAGCTGTAATATAATTACTTGCTTTATTGATTATCTGAAAGTTGGTTTTTTTTTAAATCCTGAGTTGGCTTCCCCGTGTAATGCAAGTTATTTCTCAGTTGGTTTCATTTATCATCAGTTCCTTTCTACTGAAAAGAACAGTTGATTTTTTTGCCTTCAGATGATCACATACTCTGTGCTAAGTGCTTTATCTCTTTAATTTTCAAAATACCTTCACAAGACAGATACTTACTGTATTATTCTCAAGTTACAGATAAGGAAACTGAGGCTTATAGAGGTTAAGTAACATACCCAAGTCACTCAGCCAAGGAAATGGAATTCATATCTGACTCCCACATCTGTATAGCCCAAAATGGAGCGGTTTAAAGTGAAGGAGCTTATATGACCTCCTCCCTTATGTTATAATTCTAGTGTCTGCTTTGGACTTTGTGTCTCTTCCTAACGCAACGATGGACTTGCCATTCCTGGCTATAAGCTCAGACCTGAAAAGCCATCCACTTCCACTCATCTTAACTCTTCAATTCTCCACATTGAAAGCAACAATTAGCAGACCTCATCTGTTTCACGTATAATGTTGAAAGCCCTTTTGGGGTCCCTATAAGCAATATGGAGGAAAATAACAAGAAAGAAAAATATTAACATTTCTACTGAGTGATACTGTTTCAAATCCACACATACGTATAAATGAAAGTTGTGGCTGCCTGATTAATCTGAAAATAAGCCCCATTTAGTAAGACAGTTCTTGAAATACCTACGCTCTACCAACACAGCACCTTAATAATTATAGAGAGCGTTTTCCTTTAAGGAGCTCCCAAGCGCTTTGCAAACATTTTTCCTCATTAACTATCATACCATTTTCTGTGGCAGGGAAGGGAACAGGGTACTTTGTCCTATTTAAAATGTGGGACTGCTAATGCAGTGAGTGATTGAAGCAGGTTGCCCTCAGGTCATGTGCTGACAAGGCCTAGGCTAGAGTCCTCAGGGGTTGTGGGTCAGGATGGGCAGAAGGCCACTAAATCTGCAAAGGGCCATGGCGAGTGCTTGGTCCAGCTCCTCACTTTCAGAAAAGGGAACGAACCCAGGGAGACTTAGAAAGCCCAGGGTCACGCAGATAATGAACAGCTGAACCAATACTACATGCATGCAAACAGCATACAGATGTATGCTATGAAGGGGAAGATAACAACTGTGAAGAATCCATTTATAGTCAGATTAGAAGGTTGTGAAAGCAAAAAGCCTTCAGAGTGACCTTGCCTAGAGGAAAAAAACACTGTAAGAAGGTGAAAGTTTCAAACAGCAAGAGCATTTTAACATAAAGTTTCAACTTCCTAGCAGCCAAAACACCATCTGGAACTTAAGAAGGCAAGCTGCCCATTAAAGGTGACAGGTGGATAAGTTTTAAAAGATAGTTGACCAGCCTATCGTAGCCTCTAGAAAGTATACTCAAAGCACATAGGTAGCAAAGACCAACTTGAGTTCAAGCATGTTTACAGCTGACAGAAATGTTCCAGCTAAAAATAACACTCATGACTCTCTCTCTCTTAGGGAATCTCTCGTTTCCAAAGAATGTACCTACATAAACACCATACATAGCCTAAATGCATCATTTGGGAATGAGGCTTCCCCAAATTCACCCGTTTGTCCAAAAGTGAACTCCTTCTCTTCTAACCCTGTGATGCTACTGACCATACTGTCCCATCCATGAGAATAAAAGGAAAGAAATCAGAGGAGTTGAGAGGAGAGAGAGCTAGGCCAAAACGTTTGTGAATAGCTAAGGGAAAAAGAGTTCAAAGACCAATGACATTGGTTAAGAAATTTGTGAAGGGATTCCTGAACAAAACTGCCATTTCTTACCATCATGTGCTTCAGAACATATCCTTTTATGTTTACAAACACAATGAAAAAAGGTTTCTGATGGGATAAAGTTTCATAAAACAGATCATGAAACACTAACACTGAGCCTGACACATACTAAGCACCGAATACACGCTGATTGTTTTCATTGCCATTATTACCATGACACCTCAAACCTCTTCTGCTTCATAATAGGAAAAATGGAAACACAGTCAAGGCCTATGTTTTAGTTGGAAGTTAACTCAATTTTAAGAAATAGATTTCCTACCCTGATACATAGTCCAGATGTTGAACAATGACCCTAGAGAGGTTCAAAGGCTTTGGGCTTTACTCTGGGTTATGGAAGAGTACAGAGGACCTTCTTCTCCAAGGTGGGTGCCTCCACTAGGCAATCAGTAATGAGGTGGGACAGATGGAAACACCCTAATGCATCTCATCTCACTTGTCAAGAGCAGTTAGTACCAACCAAAACAAGACTCTATCCAAAGAGATGTCACAGGCCCATGGACATTACTTATAGAGGAATACTTCATATTGTCAGTTAATAACAATATTTTTATTTACCTTACTCTTTTTCACAAGCTTGGACGTTTGGTTTCTAAGCCAACAGCAAATCAAAGCAGTAAACTGAGGAGAAAGAAGGGTTTCAGCCAACAGACTGAGAACAAAGAAAGAGAAAGCTATTTTTTAAATTGACCTGAGAGTTCAAAAATGCGTATGGAACCATTTAATTGGGACGGGGGGGAGAGGATAGTTTTAAAATAAGAATACCATGCAAGTGTTCCCACACCACCCTTGGTGGTCTGCAAAGTGATTTCATATGTATTTATGTCAACACCAGCACAGTGAGGTAAGTAGGACTGTATACCTCAGAGGCATTTGGAGATTTGTCAGAGTATCCATGCCGAGGGTTGGCGCCTGGATTTGAACAGGACCATTTGACTCTGAGATCATTGTGTTGTCCACCATCTACTCAACCTCCACACCAGACAAGGCCAGTCCGCAGCTCAGGGCACTCAAGATGGAATAGCCAGTTAACTCTACTGTTACATTTCGGGAAGATTTCTCTCTAAAATAAATAAAATTAAGAGCGTAGCTCTTCAGAACGACTTGCTCCTATGTTGACCAGTATTTCCCAGACCTATCATGGCAAAGTGCAATTACTAGGCAGAATACTGGAAATGGGAAACTATCCCCAAAGAGCCAAGCTATGTAACCACTGTCCTTAGTTTCTAAAGATTCTAAAGAACCTGAATGCTTCCAAGATCTTTCGTCTCTCTTATTCCTTACATGGGTTTGATAAAATTAATGGGAAGTACACAGTTAAATCCACACATTAACCATGATGCCGAAAATGACCCCGTAAATGTAGCCCTCCCTTTTCTCCACAGAATGACCTTTGAAAACCTGTGGTGGGTAGTCTCTTGTAGCTTTCCAAGAGAGCTGTTTTCTGGCATGGGGAGGTGGAAGACTAGCCTGTCCTGGCATCCCCCAAAAGCAAGGATTCTCAGAACACGAGAGGCCAGGAAGGACTGGATCTTTCCAATCAAGGGTGAACCAACCAGATTTTTTTTAAATTTTGTTTTTGTTTTTGTTTTTTGTCGTCTTGTTTCTCTGTCTCTCATTCTCCCTCCCTTGCTGTGTCTCGCTCTGTTCCGCTTGCTGTCTCTTCCCCCATCGACAGGTGAGAAGCCCCACCAATGCAGCATCTGTTGGCGCTCCTTCTCCTTAAAAGATTACCTTATCAAGCACATGGTGACACACACAGGAGTGAGGGCGTACCAGTGTAGTATCTGCAACAAGCGCTTCACCCAGAAGAGCTCTCTCAACGTGCACATGCGCCTCCACCGTGGGGAGAAGTCCTACGAGTGCTACATCTGCAAAAAGAAGTTCTCCCACAAGACCCTCCTGGAGCGGCACGTGGCCCTGCACAGTGCCAGCAACGGGACCCCTCCCGCGGGTACACCCCCAGGTGCCCGCACTGGCCCCCCAGGGGTGGTGGCCTGCACGGAGGGGACCACTTACGTCTGTTCCGTCTGTCCAGCAAAGTTTGACCAAATCGAGCAGTTCAACGACCACATGAGGATGCATGTGTCTGACGGATAAGTAGTATCTTTCTCTCTTTCTTATGAACAAAACGACAGAAAAGAAACAAACAAACAAACAAAGCTATGGCACTAGAATTTAAGAAATGTTTTGGTTTCGTTTTTACTTTCTGTTTTTGTTTTTGTTTCGTTTCATTTTGTACTACATGAAGAACTGTTTTTGCCTGCTGGTACATTACATTTCCGGAGGCTCGGGTGAATGAGAGTTTTCCCAGCCTCCCTCGGATGGTGGCCTTAAGGCCTGGTAGTGCTTCAAGAGGTCCACTGGTTGGATCTCTAGCTACTGGCCTCTAAATACAACCCTTCTTTAAAAAAAAAAAAAAAAAAAAAATCTTTAAAAAAAAAAGTAAAAAAAAATTTTTTTTTCACTTGTGAAGAGCACTACAAAAATATATAACAAAATCTAAAAGGCCTACTGTCTTTAAGTACACCGCTTGCAGTGTTTCAGTGGACATTTTCACAATTCTGGCCGCTTGGACTTCACAGTAACCAGTTAAAACTGTGGAATATCACTTCTGGTTGAAAACCCAGAGGAAAGGCCCTGCTGTTTTCCACCTACCACATTGTCTGATTTCGTAAAAGGGCTGGGGGGTTGGGAAGGGGCAGTGGGTCCAGTGGTGTGGGGAAGGCGAACGGCAGGCTTCTCCCCCAGATTCTGCTCGTGTCCACACACCCTGGCCCACCTCCTCCATGTCCCCCTCTTTCAGCAGAAGCCAGGAAGACTTGGACAAGCATCAAGCAACAGTGGCTATATCGTATTTATTCAGTGTCTTCGCTGAGCCACAGCCTCAGCACAATCAAGAGGGACTTTCATGAAAGGCAGGAATGCAGATAAAACAAAGATATCAGAGGTTTGCACCTACGTTTCTAGGTACAAGAGAAGGATTATTTCCCACAATCTTTGCAAAAAACAAAAACAAAAAAAAAAGTGTCAGGATATATTCTTGTGGAAGAGAAAAAGAAAGAGAAATGGAGGGTGGGGGGAATAATAAAAAGTTCTTGAGGCTTTTTTAATTCAAAATTTTATAGGGGGCAAAACTGACGTTTACCAGATAGAATGCTGATTTTTTTAATATATTTACAACAGTATTTGTGTAAAAAAAAAAACAAAAAAAAGTGAGATTGTTAAAAGTAATTTTTTTTTTTCATTTTCGTTTTGCATACACTGCCACCAGTCCCTTCTCTTTTATTTTATTTCACACACACACATATATATTTTTTGGTTAAGTCAAGACTGTTAAGGTTAGCGATACTGCTTCCAGATAGAAAGAATAAAAGGCAATTAAAGTTATATTTGAAAGAGAGGAAGGATATTTTCTTCATATTTTTTTTATTTTTTCCTTAATTTTTATTATTTTAAGTATTGCCTGGGTTGATGAGGGCCTCTGTGGCCAGCCCATCCCTGCTGTAATTTGAACTGCTGCTTTGTATTTTGATATGTAGTTCTTTGACTTTTAGCAAGCTTAAGTTGCTCCACTGACTTTTTTTTTTTCCAACTGATCCATCTAGAATTCTGTTCTTTTTCATGGGAGGACTTTATCTTTCAGAAACAGATTTCTTGCTTCTCTAAAAGTTCATTGAGGTCTTATGATTCTAGAATTTGTCTCGACTTTACTTCTTTTCTTGAATGAAACACTAGTAGTCTAGAGGTCGTGACAAATGGGTTTTCCTTTTGTGGTCAGCCAGGAGGATGAGTTCATGCCTCCTCACCCTTCACAGCTGCAGAGAGCAGAAGCCTGGTAGAGATCAGGATGCCTTGATGCCAAAATTACTTTCTTCCTTTCAAATACCACCTTCTGACTATTGCCACCATGGTTGAGAGGGTTAAATGAGATGATCCTCCTTTAGAGGATGTATTAACCCTTGCTTTTTGGAAAGGTTTTAAGGAAATTAACAAAAATTTCTCGGATACCAACATCCATCATTCAAAAGGCCACCAGTTCATTGCATCATCCTAGATGCCACTCTCTCTTCCTAGTTGGGATTTCTCTCCTCGGTCCTGATCAAAGTATTGTAATAGGGATTTTTCCATTATAGACAGTGTCCTGAAGGGATTCCAACTCAAATATGAGAATTCTTAAACCTAACAAAAACTCCAAAGGTGATTTTATTGCTGGGCATGTTTTAACACTCTTAAGGGGGAAAAGTAAATCTTTAAACAAAGCAGAAACACCAAACTGTAACTTTAAAAAAGAAGCAAAGACAGAATTTTAGTTTCAAAATTACTTTGCATTTTAATTTTCCTGTGAGCAACTTATTTGCAAAACTGTGTAACAAATGAGGAGAAATCTTCCAAGGGAAGCAACTCTGTAGTGACTAAATTGGTTTTACTCATATATTTTAGATATTGGTTAACTTGGATCTTTTCCATAAGTTCTTGGTGATGTTTAGTAGGGTTAGTGCAACTGGAGTACATGTGGGTTGTATTTGGTCCTCCGGTAATATAATTTGGTAAATATTTTGCTAGAAGTTTAATGTAGACTTGGATGGCTAACTGATTATTGGGTATCACTCATCGTGATTTCTAAGAGGAGTCCTATCAAGAACTATGTGTCCAAAATTGACCTGTTTTAAAAGTTAGTGGGAAACAGCTTCAAAACTAAGAAAAAGTCCATTTTTCTCTTGCTAATTTTGCTTTTTAAAATAGCAGTGTTGTAAGACTTTAATATTTCCACTTACCACCAACAGAGGGAGCATTAGTTAATTAACCATGTCCTGGGATTGTTTTGAGATCCTGAAAAACAAGCCATTCAACCCATGATATAAAAAAGAAAAAATTGACATTAAGGAAAAAAGTTGTTTAATCTAGAGGAAAAATGACATAAAATCCCTCAGCATATATTACAAATGAAGGTGGCCAAAAGCCACTTTAAATTATTTTCAATTCTTTGACAGTAGCTGATTTAAGATAGTGTCCTTATTCCAACCTTCACAAAGTAGGCAGAATTTATAGTACCTCTAGAAAAGTTGATCTTGGGTGCCATTATGGGCCACATTTAGCTGTCTGCTTCTCAAATCAGAGGGAAACCCATTTGCCTTAATGTTGATTTGGCACGTGAAAAGTGAAGCAATTGGGTTAAAATAAAATCCACATTTTGTTATAGAACACGTAGAGGAAAAAAATTCCAGTTGGGTTTGAAACACTAATATTCACCCTTTCCCTTCAAATGAAGTATTTCTTTTTAAGAAATGTTGGAGAACTCCCAAAGAATTCTTGGTGAGGTGATGCAATCATTATAACCACATGGACTATCCAGGTTTGCAAAGCAGTAGACTTTTTCTTACCGTATGTCTATTCCTCTCAAACATTCATAGTCTAAAATAGTTGACAGACTTGTTCTCTGGAGAGAGGGAGAAGCTAGACTGCAGTGGAAGGTCTAATCTGGGGAGCAGTGAACTTGCTGTGGAGTCATTACTATATGTTCTGACCTCCTGAAAGGGCGACTTTCCCAACTGATGTAAACCGGACTGGACCTATTTCAGAAGGATAGAGGTGCTTTTAGATTGCCAATCCTTACTTTTCAGTTAAATAATTACCAACACCTTAGGAAATGGGGAAACATTTTTTGCTTCAAGAATAGAGGATGAACATGAATCCTTTTATTTTTTAGTTTCAAATCCAACAATCTTCTTACATTTAGAACTTCATGCTAGGATGCTATGAGTGCTAAAAAAATTTTTTTTTCAGTAGTCAGGGGAAAAAAATAGATAAAATGGAAACAAATGTTCCAGATTTAAGACCTCTTAGGATGAATACAGGGAACAAGAACTGGTTTGGAAAAGAACATTTTTTTTAGTAATTTATGATTTAAAAGTGGGTTAGCTGAACAAGGGAAAGGAAAAAAGTCAAAGGGGAATATTTATGTCAAGACGTTTAGATACAGTTTATGAAAAATAAAATTTCCCAGCCCTGAAAACATTGGTAGCATCCCAGCGTGGTAGGTAACTTTCCCCCATTACTATAATAAATGCCAATATTTGTACTAAAAAAAAAAAAAACCCGCAAGTGGTAAAATATGGCCCCTCAAAAGGAAGGAATTGGAACAGATGAATCTGATACAAATCTACACATGGGAAAAGATTAAGAAACAAGCCAGGCAAAAATAATTTGAAATGAAAGTCTTGATATCAAAATGGTTTTTACTATATCTTTTAATTGAGTTGTAAACTTTAGCTCTTGATAATAGTGTATAGACTTTTTCCTGCCCAAACTCCTAATGCTCTGAAACTGTGCCATGAGTAAGTGTGGTAGATAACTTCCTTCTCGTGTTCCAGCTTTAGTCCATTCCTTCTTCATAGGCATCTTGGAGGTCACAGTAGCTCCCAGGCTTAGAAGAAAAGACTTGGATTTGCTTTGTTGAAAAGTCATGGGTTTTATTTTGTATCATCCCAATATTCTTTAAGGACCAAGAAAACCCTTTGGAACCCATGAACAGTTACAATTTGTGCATTCTGATAGGAGAAGAAAAAAGATTTCCTCCAGGTGGGAGAAGAAAAGATTTTCCTCTATGTGTCAAGTAAGTCCTAATGCCTTGACCTACATGTACCTCAATCATACAAGCACACCAACAGAGTGTGGCCAGCCCATACATGCCCCAAATCTGTTTTCCCTCAGCAGTTCCCTCAAATGAGGCATGCCCCTTATAAAAATCCCTCAGGTCCCCAACAGAACATAAGTTCCTGTTGCTTCCTAGATGTGCTTCCTCCATAATGCTCCCAACACCTGTTGCCTTTAGGAAAGGGAGCAGTGAGGTAGACCTGGCCAGGATTCATACTCAACACGCCCATGCAGGAGCCTTCCTCTGTTGTTATGGAAGATGTTATTTAATTAGCTAAGGCTGGGAGCAGAGGATATGTGATTCTGCAGCAAAGGTATCACATACCCAAATCAGGTCTGCCTCTGCTATGCAGAAAGAACCAAAATGAAGGTACAGTGTAAGAGCAGACACAACCTGAGATGCCCTTGGGGTTTGGGAGAAGGGAGGGTGCCCTTTCTGCTGCGACCTGACTCTTAAAAGAAACCCCCTGAAAGAATTCTTTAATTTAGTAATGAGTTGAAGTCCAGGGTAATGGAAGCCCTGGGGAAGAGAACAAAAGGACTGCAAAGTGTATTCAGCACCCAATAATGCGAAACCAAAAAACATCCAATCGCAACACTAGGAAGTTTGGCAAGAAGTATTTAGAGAAATCTCTGGGCTTTCCATGGGTAGTAGGGTCGACAGACTTTCTTTTGAGTGATTTCTGGCTCTGAGAAACCTCTTTACTCACTAGAAAAGAACTTTCTTTAAATGGCCAATTTTATCCCCCAGAAAAAGAAATTTAAAAAAATAAAATAAAAATAGGACACTAAAGACAGAACCATGTGACCCAGTAACAAACAAAAGGAAGGGTGCACTAGAACTTCAATAGGCTCCCTAATTCCATAGACAAAGCAAGGCAACCCAACACCTCTCCCTCTGCAGTGCTTGAAGAGAGCACTTGCGCTGACCCAGCCACCTGGGGCTTTCTGAGGCTCCACATAACTTCCCCACTGGGGTGGCGGCAGCCCCTTTCTCTTCATGTTGACATGAAGAAAAGGACTGTTCTCTTAGGTGCCCAGGAAATAGATTGCATGGGGCAAACTTTCAAAAGCTATCTCTACCCTGGTGCTCAGGCAGCATATGGTGACAGAAGAGGGGCACAGAAGAGCTCTTGCTCTCGAGTGAGAATATTCTCGTATCCCCAAGGACTCTCCGTGTGAAGTTGCCATTTCTAAGACCGCTTAAACCTCCACAAGAGGAAAAGCTGTGGTGACTCAGTGTTCGTATAAACACAAAACGTGGAAATTACTAACCCAAAGCATCATTTCTAGCGCTAGGGATTAAGGTGATCAGCCTAACCAAAATTCCCCAAAGATTTTTCTAAATCTCCGAATACATGTTTGTTTTTTTCCCTCGAACACTGAATCCACAGTGGTCAGTGGTGTACGTTAACAGATCCCAGAAAATGGTTTGGAACACCAGGGTTTGTTTTCAGTTCTTTTTAGGATGAAGAAATAGAGGATGAGTGTTGCAGAGCACAGGTTCTTTTTTGGAACTATGTATTTCACTGAAAAAGCAGTAAAATGCCCCGGGTTGAAACAACA